AGAAGTCACGCACAGCCGCGGTGAGGTTGGTCGCGTGTGTGCAGCAGGATCCCACGCGACTGCGGAGTTGCCCCCTTGCTCGAACCCAGACAATAATAAGGGGATCGGTCTATTGTCTCCCACCCCGATTCACGGACCACTTTAGGTTCCCTAACCGAATTCAATTCAAGCGTCATTTACGTATTTAAATTGCAAGGTGTCAGTTCGATTGCACTGGTATCGCTTTAATGCGCAATCATTGATTTAGACTCCTTGTTCTTTCACTGTATCTTGTGCACAGTATATAGTGTATCTGACTTTTCCGAGCTCACTTTGCACATTTCCTCTTTTTCCCAGCTCCAGTATTCATTGTACAGTCAACTTCGCATATAACGACTGCGGATATAACGACAATTCGCGAATAACAACAGCATTAAATTTCCATGCCCAGAGCAAAGTCCCTTCCAACTGTAATACATAATTATAATGAGACTTCGGGTATAACGACACTTCGCGAATAAGGACACTTTTTGATGCCCCACCGAATGTCGTTATAAGCGAAGTTGACTGTATTTAACTCGGGACCTTCCAACAGGCGTTGCCTTTTTACTGGGAACCCTGGGAATGACTTGGTGACAAATGCAGAAATGGGTTTAGCTTGACGCCATCCAGGTGGCCGTGGAAGCATGTTCCATCTGTCCGCCGCGACAAATGAAATAGCATTCAGGCCCCCGACGAGACGAACATGTAGCACTCTGGGTAGGTTCAGAGCGGCTGAAGCTTGACCGTGGGTAGCAGCATTTGTGCGGCATGATGCAGAGCGAGGGGGGGGGGGGGAGGGGAGGGGAGGGGAGGGTAAATATAATGCTTAAAAAGAGGACTGGTGCAACGAGATAGACACCTAAAAACAAACACAAACAGCTTCAAGCTTACACGGCGAGAGAAAATATACAGGTTTTAACTTATATTTTGATTAGAATGACATCGATAGAAGTGTAGGCTGATCATGGCCAAACACTCGCCGTTGGCACCTATTGCTGGTTCACTCGAGTTTGTCTCGGAGTTTAGCAGACAAGCAGTGAACAGAAGATGCGCTGGCATAGTCCAAGGGACAATTGGTGGTTCGGCGTTGTGTGGGTTTTATTTGTTTATTTTGTGTTGAGCTTTGTCCCCTCCCTTAGGCCTATGCCATGCCCCTGTCATTGTAGTGGAAAGGGGCCCGGACACTGTTCTTCATCATGCTCTGACACACCGACTACACCTTTGTAAGCAACTAGCCAGTTTGACCCTGGTGATGTGTGTGGTTGGGTTCGTCCCGCTGCACGCATGTCTGGACCGCCTGGGAATACCTCGTGCTGTAGACTTTTTTCTTTTCTTCTCTTCTCAGTTGTCATCACGCTTTTCTTCTTCTCTTTGGCGTGCGTCGGTAAATGGGTGGTTAGGCGTGGTGGGGGCCACTTCTACAGTATTTGTTATTTTGTTTTGGGCTGTGCCCCCTCCCGATGCGATGCGCCCAGTCATTGTGGTGGAAAGGGGCCCGGAAACCGTTCTTCGTCATGCACGGAGTGCCACGGAGTGCCACGGACACACCGACTACACTTTTGTAAGCAACTAGCCAGTTCAGTGACCCTGTTGTGGTGAGTAGTCGAGTTCGTCCTGCATGCATGCATGTCTGGTCACGGCTGCATGATGTACTGGTGCTTTGGGGAGGCTTTGTCCCTCTCCCTCCCCCTCCCCCGGGGCATCCCATGCGGAAGGGGAGAACGTATGACCATCAGCCATGATGTGGGAATCAGTGATCACTTTTCATCCTACACTGATTATAATAGACGCTTGTGATAGCGGCCATGGACAAGGAGGGAGTGAACATACAGTGACGACGAACCTTGTATAAGAGGAGTTGTCGACTCGAAAAGGATGTCTACGGCCATACCACGTTGAAAATACCGGTTCTCGTCCGATCACCGAAGTTAAGCAACGTCGGGCGAGGTTAGTACTTGGATGGGTGACCGCCTGGGAATACCTCGTGCTGTAGACTTTTCTTCTTCTTTTCTTCTCAGTTTTCATCACGTTTTCTTCTCTCTGGCGTGCGTCGGTAGGTGGGTGGTTCGGCGTGGTGTGGGCCACTTATATTTTTGTTTATTCCCGTAGCTATGCAGAAGACGTTACTTCAGTAACGTCTGGCGCTAGCCAGGGTCCACACAGCTTTAATTTGGTGTTTGTTTGTTTGTTTGTTCGTTTGTTTGTTTGTTTGTTTGTGTCACGCCTGTAGCTATCCCGTATCTGTCCCGTATCTGTCCCGTATCTGTTACTACAAAGGCTGTACAGGATTGTACTGTACATAACAGATGGCCACAATATTTGCTGGTTTCCGTATCTTTCCCGTACCGTACCATCAAACACAGCTGGCCACAAACAGCTGGCCACATTATACCTCTTAATTCCCGTAGCTATGCAGAAGACGTTACTTCAGTACCGTCTGGCGCTAGCCAGGGTCCACACAGCTTTAATTTGGTGTTTGTTTGTGTGTAATTGTGTCATGTCTGGCGCTATCCCATATCTGTCCCGTACCGTACCGTACCAACAAAGACAGCTGGCCACAATATTTTTGTTTGTTTGTGTCATCGGCGCCGCGGCATGCCTGGCGCTATCCCGTACCTGTCCCGTACCATCAAGAGTACGGTACCATCAAGAGAATGAGTATATATGCGAAGTGTATCGGGGGGAATGCATTCAGTGCAGTAACATTTTGTGTGGATTTGTGGGCGAGGCCGAGATCCCACTAGCAGGCTGGCTGGGCCGCCTGTCGACCAGCCCGGGAATCGCATGTAGGCCGATAGCATAATAATTATAACGTGTATACAGTCATGTAGATGTATAGCAGGGAGTCATATTATGTAAACGACTCCCTGCTGTATGGGGAGATATTCTGGAAAGAAATACAAAGTAGGAAGACGAGTAAATGCAATTAGAATGGATGTTAGGTGCCGTCAGTATAATAATAAGAAGAAGAAGAACGCCCGTAATCGGCGGAGTCAGCGCCAGTCCCAGGAAACGTCAGGACAGACATCCCGTCGACTCCAGAACGCCCTTGATCGGCAGAGTCAGCGCCGGTCCCATAGCTATGCAGAAGACGTTACTTCAGTAACTCATTGAAACGTTCTTGCAATACAATGATGTAGCTAATCAAAGGAAAACACATTTCCATCAGTTCTAACACCATGCACGATGAGCTAGGCAACAAAGCATAGCGCAGGGCCCTGAGCGTCCAAGCTCTCTCGTTTTGTTTTGAGCTTTGTCCCTTCTCGATGGGATGCGCCCAGTCATTGTGGTGGAAGGGACCCGGAAATCGTTCTTCTTCATGCACCGACACACCGACTACACTTTTGTATTACAGTATCAGCAACTAGCCAGTTTGACCCTGGTGGTGTGCTGTACCGTGCTGTGAGTCAGGGAGTAGCACAGTGCTACTCCCTGCTTTGGGCATGCTTTGTTCCTCCCCCTCTGCCTTGCTCCCCCCCCCCCCCCTCCTAGCCCTCCTCCTCCCCCGGACGGCAATGCGTGTGTTCCGCAATCCGCTCGCCTCGATATTTTGCCACAAAATGTTGCTGCGAGATCTTCGATCATGGATATTTTACCGAGCCTGGCACTAGAAACCCGATATTTTGCTCCGGAAAACGGGAAAAACGTGAATTTTATCCACTTCCCGTACAACAAAGTTGATTGTTCCAACTAGGAACACACGCTTCTTGCCGAACTTGACACTTGACTGACTCCGTGACGACTGCCATCCGGAGCACACGAGGAGCACGTCGCACCTTCCACTCGGCAAACCTGCAAGAAAGCACCACTCCCTGCTCAATACACGGTGTTTCGGGGAATTCACCTCTCATCAGTTGAGCTTGAGTAGGCTGAGGAAGATTGTGCCTGAAAAGCACCACTTATATACTGCTCTCCAGGCCAAACCATCACCAGGGATACAAACTTACAGAGACGCTTTGTTTCCAGCGCGACAAACACCTCGTGAAGCTCTAGGTAGCAGCGTGAGTCAGAGTCGCTCATGGAGTTGTGATAAACAGACGTTGCGAGCCAGTATAGCTATTCGCAACGCTGTCACCTCCAACAACTAGTCGCACGTCCGCGTGAGGGACAACAATACGAACTTAGAAGTTGCGACTTCGGCGGTATTAGTCATGAAGTTGATTGTTCCAACTAGGAACACACGCTTCTTGCCGAACTTGACACTTGACTGACTCACGACTGCCATCCAGAGCACACGAGGAGCACGTCGCACCTTCCACTCGGCAAACCTGCAAGAAAGCACCACTCCCTGCTCAATACACGGTGTTTCGGGGAATTCACCTCTCATCAGTTCTAAGTTCCCGTACAACGTTCTGTAAAAATCGCAGGGTCGGTTTCTCACAGAGAGTCGTCAAATACCTAATACGAATAGGTATTTGACGACTCCCTGGTTTCTCAACCGTTGACGGGTTTTCGTACGTCATGTTGTTGTTGTTGTTGTTGTTGTTGTTGTTGTTGTTGTTGTTGTTGTTGTTGTGTTGTCCCAGGGTTCTTCCAAAAATTAATCATGTCGATCCACAGGCACATGTGCACAGTGAATCCCAGTCACGGATATTTCGGTGATGATCTCGTCCTGGGCAGTTTATCATGCTGAACGGGTCACCGAATATGGGCCGCAAAGAGTGCCGTGTTGGCCCGGTTTTATAGCGAGAAGCAGTGCGTAGGAGGAGCTAGCCAGCTACTCTCGTCACCCGCCTGATATCTGAACGGCTCGATTACGTACGCGCGGGCCGTTTTCACATTCGGAAGACAAAAAAAAGATCGGCGCGGCTAGCTTTGCATTTTGATGCCGAAAAATGGTACAAATCATGCATGCTACTTTTGCTAGCGCAACATCACCATGATCACGAGTCGACAAAGCAAAAAAGCCGTGAGATGTGCTAGCTGGCCATGCATCGTGCATCGGATGGTGGGATTTGTGCAAAAACCTGACTCCTGAGAAGGAACCGTCTGCATGCAGCAGTTCGTGGAGCTGTCGAGTGTAGGAGAAATCGCAGGTGACAGGCATAAAGCAGTGTTGTTTGTGTGTGTGTTGTTCCACTCTTCACTGCAAATCTACGTGGAGTGCCGTTTTCCATCATCACACACATTCTGCAGCTAGCTCTGAGGCAGTACAGTGCAAGTGGTGTCAGTAGAATAGATTTTTCATTTTCATTTGCCCAATAATTTTCGTCAACCACAGGATCCGGGCCTGCGTATGTGGTACATGGTGGGTGGGTGTGTGTGTGTGTGCGCGAACTAAAATACTTGGCGCTGTAGCACCCGTGGCCGAGGCACGGGCCGTGTTGTCACTGCTGGCATCTGCGCCTGGGATCCTGCAACGTCGTCACAATGGGTGCGGGCGATTCGGCCCTGTTGCACGAGCTTCAGACGGCCGAGCCATGTCCACCTCTGGAAGACGTGGCGAATAGCATCAACGCAGGCCGAACAGGGAGCAGCAGAGGTGCCAACAAGCTGCGCTCTCGCCTGGAGAAGCTTCGCCTGGCCGGTGGCAACAGTGGACAGACGAGTTCATCCAGCGGTCGAACTGGCTCAGCACCCGTCAGTTCAGAGTCATCACCCAGAACAGGTCGGTCGTTCAGCATTGGCAAGAAATTCAGCATTTCACTGGGCAGAAAGCGTGGAAATAGCAGTGCTCAACCGGGCAGTTTAAATTTAACCCCCACAACAAGTCAAATGTCACTAAACGCCATGGCAAATAGCACTGAGGGACCTCTGCAATATGACCTGGCTGGAGCCGACGGACGTACGAATCGAGCTTTGGTTGCGCCGTGCCGATTCAGGGCCGCCGATCGTAACGTTGTCTTTTTCCCCGGCGACGTACAGGTGAGAGGCGCGCGCGCGTGTGTGTGTGTGTGGTGTGTGTGTGTGTGCGTGTGCGTGTGTGTACGTGCATGTGTGTGTATGTGTGTGTGTGTGTGCATGTGTGTATGTGTGCGTGTTGGGGGGGGGGGGGGGGTGCGTGTGTGCATGCGTGTGTGCATGTGTGTGTGTGTGTGTGTGTGTGTGTGTGTGTGTGTGTGCCCCCAAGGGGTAGCTGATTGATAGTAGTAGTAGTAGTGTGTGTGCATGTGTGTGCATCACGTGCACGCATGCACACAGTCATCATCATCACATGGTCAGTAGAACTGACTCCACGACATAGAACCCTCTACAGGCTGCATGCACATAAAGTGCAGAGCTCTGCATGCTTGCACAATAGGGCTTGAAAGTGATGACGTCAAAACGGCCAGGGAGTAGTAAGTTGACATCAGATTTCTATTTTGGATCCACTAAGGTCAGTTTCACTGGCTACATCACCATGCTGTGGGTAAGACCGCTTGAAATGTGCTTGGATCCATACAAAAACTGGATCCAGTTTTTGAATTTTTGAAATTGTTGCTATGCTGTGACGTAGCACTTTCAAGCCCTATTCATTATCATACAGGCATACTGTACTTTCGGGAGTATACGGGCCCGGTCATACATGCACCGGGGTTCCGCTTCGGCGGCGAGGTTCTGCGGCAGCGAGCCCGGTGTCGCTCCAGCGGAACCATGTGTGTATGGTCACACATACCATACAAACAGGGCACAACTCCTACTTTGGCGGAAAATGGGAGTAAAGTGGACTGTGGTGCATACGGTACGGAGAATAGACGAGGTCAATGACTATCTTGCACGTATTTTTGTTGCATGGACATCATACGCATACAAATTTCTCGTAGCAAGTCCATATACAGCAGATCATGGTGTTTTCCGCCGAAGCGAAACCGCATAAGCGAGAGTTCCGCTCCCAACATGTTGGAGGCAGCGGATTGGAGTTTCCGCTGGAGCGGTAGTTCCGCTTTTCGCCGTTGCCATGGTGTTTTTCGCTCCTGCGACGTCGCTTCAGCGGATCCGCTGCTTTTGAGTGCATGTGTGAGCGGACCCTCAGCCCTTTGGAGTAGAAGCTGCACCCAGTTTGCTTGCCATGAAATACAGGCATGTACCCTATTTATCAACTTCAGGCCATGGTAAAAAATAGGTTGATTCTCAGGTGATGAGCCTGTGAAAATCGGTGCGAGCGAGCGATTTTTTATTTTATTTCCCACAATTTTTTTATTTCCAAAGATAGGGTCACACATATGTACATGGTCACATGTTCATATATTCAGGCCAGGAGTAGAAAAAAATACCGATATTTTGCTACTCCCTGATTCATGCCTTTCGCATTGGCCGTTTTCATGCGCGCATATGCATGCATAGAAATATAAAATATCGTCGGTGCGCCGCCAAAAATCGGTGCGTGCGTACTTGAGAATAAAAGATAATTTTTACCATGGCCTTAGTCTGATCGTCGTAGTATAAACCGCATCGACTTATTTGGGGGGGGGGGGGGGGGGCAAATTACAGTGAAACCTGTCTAAGACGACCGCTCAAGGGACCTTCAAGATGTGGTCTCTGTTACCAGGTGGTCTCCTTATCCAGGGTCATTTGACTGGAAATAGCATCCCTTGATCCTGGTTTCAATGGTCTTCTGGGACAGGTGGTCTTCTAGGACAGGTGGTCTTCTGGGACAGGTGGTCTTCTAGGACAGGTGGTCTCCTTGACAGCTTTTACTGTACAGTACTGGCGTGTGAAGTGCGGCGTATACTCCAGAGAATGCGGTACCCAGTTAAGCTTGCACTTGGACCATGGCACATAGGGGCGCAGATCCAGGGCTGTAACCCAGGGCAGGGGCGTCGGAACCGGTGCGGCAGGTGCGGCCAAAGCCGCACCGATCATTTCATCTTCGGATTTTTGGGGCATAAAATAATATGGGCTAGTTGGGTCCAATTTTCCAGAAACAAACCGGGGGAGGACCCCGCACCCCATCTCTTCATCGCCGCACCAATGTCAGATACCTTTCGACATTGGTGACGATATGTTTGGTGCCGAACATATCGTGACGAACTTTCTTTACTATCATAGTTATACCATCACGCACGATTTCTGGTAACCTGAGGAGTGTGCTAGCACCTCTGACACCCCCCCCCCCCCCCCCCCCGATTCGCCCCTGGTACATCCAGTAATGCTGTCGCTGAGTGTAATCACAGGCTACTAGGGAAGCGGTGTTGAATTACAGCCCCTTTCGACCACAGTTCTTTCATGAAAAGTGCAAGCGTTGTGATTTTATAATTTAGGCCACTCTGCCGGCCCTATTTCTCAAGGCCCAGGCGTTGTACACACCCTCCTCCGTGTGTACCCGCGTCATCCAATCCCCAAACTTGATAATTAATTGTGTGTGTGTGTGTGTGTGTGTGTGTGTGTGTGTGTGTGTGTGTGTGTGTGTGTGTGTGTGTGTGTGTGTGTGTGTGTGGATGGGCGGTGCATGCGTGCCCACGCATGTGTGTGTGTGTTTGTCTGTATTCGTGCATGTGTGTGCGTGCATGTGTACGTGGTTGCATGTGTGCATGCCAACCTGCCCTGACAGGACACGGCAGAAGTGATGGTGAAGGACGTGCGCCTGTCCAACTGGGTCAGCTACTCGTACGAGGCTGTTCTTGAGCGTCTGGAGGCCCGCTACCCGACCGCCAACATCATACTCATCGTGCCGAGTCGGAAACATTTAGGCGCCTACAGCTGTTACGATAACTTCTTGGAAACAGACACTTTCGGTGAGCAGCGGGGCGGGGGACATGCCGGGGTGTGCATCAACTGTCTAGGGTTAGGCCCGTCGGAATGGTCCAGTTGATCTTTTTGGCCGCCGGCACGTGTTCCGTACTGTGGAGGGGCTGTGTACCCGCCATATCATGCACAAACTGTACGAACGGCCATGATGCCGTAAAACATGTTATGTTCGGTGAAACTTTAATCTCGGTGATGTCGGTGGAAAAAACATGCAGCTAAATTTAAATTACACCTAAAAGCCTATAGAGTATGTACTGTATGTGAAGGGAAAGCTGGTCATCTAATTATTATTATTATTATTACACCTTCCAGTGGCTAAAGATGAATCAGTGCCAATATAGATGAGGAGCGTTTGCCAGCCATGGCGTAGAAAGGAAGTATAAGAAGTGTGGTGGTGCACCAATACCATGGTGAGTAACAGAGGAAAGGGAGCAATTCTACATTACACCTGAAACCGGGCAGGTCCCCGACATTGAAATTGTAATACACCTGAAAATTACACGTCTTACTGTACTAGCTGGGCAATGGAAACCTGCTTGCGGTGGTCGGCGGTCCTGATTGCGCCCCTTCTAGTCCGTGTTGGTCAGTTGTGCAGTTCGTGTGTGCAAGACTTAGGGCGCGTTTGATTGGTCGGATCCGGAACAGGATCGTTCAGACTTAGGGCGCGTTTGATTGGTCGGATCCGGAACAGGGGCGTTTGATTGGTCTGATCCGGAACAGGATCGTTCAGAACAGGGGCGTTTGATTGGCCTGATTCGGAACAGGATCGTTCAGAACAGGGGCGTTTGATTGGTCTGCACTGCTTTTGGAGTGCTTGGAGCATGTTCTGGTCACTCCGACCCCCAAGGCTGGAGCAGCCAGAGCAAGTTGCAAAGCCCAATGAAAGCCTGACAGGGCTACGCAATGAGTTCAGTTTTCGATTCGAACCGATTCAGACATGTTTAGGGGATTTTTTCCCGGCATGGTGAGCTATCATGAGTTCTACAATATTTCTGGCAAAAATAGGATCTGTTTGTTCTGTTTTCTGTTTGATTGGGAACTGTTGTTCTGACTGCTCCAGTGAATCTGATCTGAATCCGGATTCACCAATCAAACATGCCCTTATATACCGTATTTCCCCGGTTATAAGTTGCACCTTTTTACATTAAAAAAAACCAGGGGTATAAAGGGGGTGTGACTTAGGCTGTACTCACACTACTTGAAAGGTTGACGCGAATGTCGCGTTCAAAACTAGACAAAAGTGCTTGAAAAATTTCCAAGCACACTGGTTACTGCACTCCAGTGACGACTTGAAACATTTTTGTCAGCAAATTACCATGGAGAAACATGATGTCATGTGGTAGTTTTGCAAATCCCGAGGCACGTTCCTTCGAATTTTTGCGCTCGATCAACTTATTTGCAATTTTCAGTTCATGAGAAAATAGAAACAGTTGTATCTTGCGTGGATCATGGAGTTCGTTCGCCAAGCCTCGCGAAGAAGTAGCACATCGTCGACGTCGACGGATGAAGAAGTTTCTCTCCACAACTCGATGAGCTTTTCCTCCAAGTCGTCAGAAAACATTACGCGAGGCATGATGTCGGTACGAAAGCAATGGTACAAAAGAAATGCGACAGAAACGGCAATCAAAACAACGGGAAGCTGCTGGAAGAAAGAAGACGGAAAATAGCCGGAAAAAAACACCACAGAATTCGGAAATGAGAGGCAAAAAAAGGAAAGTACAAGTACATGTATACAGTCAACTTGGCGTATAACGACACTCGGCGGCGGGGCATCAAAAAGTGTCCTTATTCGCGAAGTGTCGTTATACCCGAAGTCTCATTATGTATTACAGTGGGATGGGACTTTGCTCTGGGCATGGAAATTATGCCGTTATTCGCGAATTGTCGTTATATCCGCAGTCGTTATTAGCGAAGTTGGCTGTATGTACAAGAGCAGTACGACCACGAGGAAACAAAGCATAAAAAATATTCTGGAGCCTTTCACCGTACAATAGTACTCCACGATCCGGCCTCCTGACATCTCACAGCTTTCCAAACGGCTTGAAAGCAAAAAACCTCGTAGAAGAGGGTTCCGTTTCCGCTGAAACCTTTCAAGCAGCTTTCAAGGGCTTTTTTCATCTTCGCAACCGTCACCGTGGCAACATTCACACGTAAGTCACTTGCATGCGGTTTTTCAAGTAGTGTGAGTACAGACTTACAATGGAGCATGACTAACTACTAAAATGAATACCGTAAAGTCTTGTATAAAATCCGCGGCTTCTATGACTTTCTTGGTGAACAATTTGCAGGCTTCTATACAAGACAGGTATTTCTATGTATGTCAACACTAAAACCAGGCTTATGTGTGATTTGATGGGCCCAAAATTGCGGCTTCTATTCGAGGGCGGCTTTATACAAGACTTTACGGTATATCGAAAAATATGGCTCAAACCTGAAAATGGGGGTGCGACTTATAATCGGGGAAAAACGGTAACCCCCAGGAGTGTGCAACTCCTTCAGTCTATGGGGTCCGCGCCACGGCAGAGCTTCACATCACGTGACAAAGCGCGTGCCCATTATTCACACCCTGTGCATGGTACCGGTAGGTGGAGAGCTGTAACGCAACCCCAGCCTGCGTTGGTTTCGACTATCTTGTGCTCACTTTGCACTGTTTGCCTGCGTAACCTATAGACTCAGTGCGCATTGCCAAATATGGAATGTACAGCGCTGGCAACTGAAATCCGACCCCTGAGCGGTGCGCTCACATTCTAGCGGTCTCTGTTTCGTAGCGTTGCAATCCCGTGTTGGGACTTTGCGATGTGAGCGCACCGCTGAGGGGTCGGATTTCAGTTGCCAGCACGGTACGAGTAATGCATGTGAGTACGCTGGGATCAGCAGTGCACTGTTCCCCACCCCAGACGACCATGTCCAGGTGGCTGTGTGGGGTGTTATGTGAGTACACTGGGATCAGCAATGCACTGTTCAACACCCCAGACGACCATGCCTAGGTGGCTGTGTGGGGTGTTTGTGGTACAAATATTACGTCATTGCGCAATGGGTTCATTGAAGCAGGTCACGTGATGCCGTTCTGCCATGCTTGCACTGTACAGAGACAGTGCGAGCATGACACGCTGGTACAGGTAGTTGCACATTCTTGGGCGTTATGCGCTCGTGTCGCCAGTCAAGTGTGCATACAGTTAGACCTCGCAGAACCGCACACGTCCGTTTTCCACAAAAAAAGTATCCGGATAGGCGAGGGAACCGGATAATCGAGCACACGTTCTGTATGTATGTATGCAGGGCACATGCTGTAAATCGGTAACCAACGATTTTCTTCCGGATGGCGAGGGATCCGGGTAAAAGAGGACTGGATAAGCGAGGTCTGACTGTACCTGCAGTTAACTGTATGATTATGTACTCTTGCCATCAATCAATGGCGTGGGTCTATTGTGTACTCTAATTTCAGAAGGTCAGGTGAACAGAAATTTTAGGTACAGAGAAGCATGTCCCTATTGGTTGTTTATGTGTGATACTGTTTGTTCAGTGTATTGAAATTTTAGGTACTGTAAATATACAAATTTTCGGCAGCTATTTAATTTCGGCTATATTCGGCACCGACCCAAAACGCCTAAATTAAAACGCCGATGAAATTTTTCACAGCATCTGTCGCACTATACCATGCCCTCTACCCCACGCCGAAAATAAATCGCCGCCGAAATGTCAAAAATCGTGAAGTGCCGAAATTTTGTATATTTTAGGTATGAAACAGATGCACGGAAAGTACCGAAAATAAAAGTACACCGACGATTTGTGAGATTAACAGTGTACCTGTACCCGGTGGCGTTGCTGCCTATCAATGGTGCGGGTGTGTGCTCCGCCGGTTGCGACGTATGACCTTTAAATGAGCGCTGCTCGTAAGCTGGTGCACCGTCCTTCACAGTGCCTTGGTGAAGGCCGTCGTTCATCACGCCACTCTGTACCCGTCCGTCTACCCGAGGTCCTCACGGGTAGCACGGGTACCCGACTACTGTACAGGCAGAAAATTCCGTCGGTCAATCATTTCGTCCGACTCCAAAGCAAGGGAGGTCGTCCGGTTGTAAATTTCGTCCCTGGATATTAATAAGAATGTATTGAAAAGCTGGACAAATCGACAGTTAGTCCAAAAACTCCTTGGACGAAAAAGACGAAATTAAATTCCAGACGAACATTTCTGTTTATACAGTGCCTTTGCACACCATGGATTCTAACACTGTTTATGTATTGGTGGTGTGCACTGTCTTCTGGATGTGTTCTGTCCCTGTTTCAGGTGCCCCTACTAGCAACTGGTCCGATCTCAAGGCTAACCTGCATCTGTTCGCACTCATCGACAGTCTACAGACGCAATCGTCACGTGCACCGACCGCCAAGGGCCGGCATACTCCTCTTGGCCGTGTTGGCTCGGTAAGATACGTGGGTGTGCGTGTATGGGTGTGGGGGTGGGTGGATGGGTGTGTGTATAAGTGCATGTACAAGTGTATGTAGAGGTATGTAGGTGGGGGGGGGGGGGGAGGAAGGGAGGGAGGAGGAGTGTTGGTGTGTGGGGGGGGGGGGGGCGAGGAAGGGAGGGAGGAGGGCTGTAGATGTCTTGTGGGAGTACAACAAAGCCAGTTTAGTTTAGCAAACGCTCTGCTGAGAGGGCAGCTTTCTTATAGCACCATTCTTTCCTGGCTCTTCGGATCCCGTCGCCAGCGAAAGTAAAATCCCTCAGAGCACACGTACCGAGGAAGATATTTCCGCCTGTCCAGAAACAGACCAGAACTGCTGCGACTGCATGCTTGCATTTTGGATGTAGAGTATGGCTGGAATCAACAGTACATGTACGAGGTGAATTGCTATTTCTGGACATTGTACATGTCTGGACATTTCGAGTAAAATAATTTTTCGTCGCGTGTAGAGTCAAGTCAGTCAGGTTGATGAAGTTTTTTCTTGTTGTAGTTGACAGCTGGGCTGTTGTAGTTTCTCCTCGTGTCGGTGCCTTGTTGATAGCCTTTTCTTGGGAGGCATTTCAACGAGTTTTGTGGTACTATGTCGCATGAGAATTTTGAGTAAAATAAGAAGTGATGGACGAATCATTGGCGTCCCCATGTGCACTTCACATCAGACGCTGTATAGTCTTGGACATGTTGGCTGGAAGTGTGAAGAGGCCAACTGCAGTCCACCAATAGAAAAAATAACAAAAATGGTGCAGTATAAGATGCCTATTGACGCTATTTTACTTTCATGTCCAGAATTCCATACACTGAAATTTTGGCCAACAAATTGGCCTGTTGAAAACATCCTGCTATAAAGTCTCTGGGATCACAGCATGAGCAATTGTCTCATATTTGGAAAGATGAAGGATCAGGCCATACAATAGATACAAAAAAGATATGAAAAATGTAAAACACACAGCCAGTGGGCCTCTATTTTATTTTCATGTCCAGAAATTGCTATTCACCTTGTACACATAGTATTTATTTTTTATTTATTTTTTTTAGTATTTTTCGGAGTATGAGCCGCTCTTTAAAAATCAGTAATAAATCCAATACACCACACCACCACATTGCGCTCTTGGCCGATCCAAACTCTGCACTTACATCACCATCACCACAGCGAGGACAATTCCGGTATATAGATTGATATTGACAGCTGGTTCGCTCCTCCTGGTGATGTGAGTGCAGAGTTTGGATCGGCCAAGAGCGCAATGTGGTGGTGTGGTGTATTGGATTCCATAATGGCCGGGTCGTCGCTACTTCTTCTCAATTAATAAATCACCCAAAATAGTGTGTGTGTGTGTGTGTGCGTGCGTGTGTGTGTGTGTGTTGTGTTCGTCGTCGCGCTGACATGGCCCGGCACAAGTGCACAGCAGTCCGACAGCTCCCCGTACCACAACAGCCTGGGTCAGTGCAGTGTCCTGCCTGCAGTAGATGGCTCCGGAGCAGGGGTGGGCTTGCAGTGCATAAGTGTCAAGAGAGTGACAACTGACACGACCGACCACCTAGTGATGCTCCTCCTGTTGCCGAGGTCCCGGTATGTACAGCCTGCAAGCGTACTTTTAAGTCTACTGCTGGCCTCAAGCGCCATCGCTGTGGACCCCGCCCGAATCGCCCTACAGTGGCTGATCGCCAGCACTTTGAACATCATTGCCGAGTCTGCAATCGACGCCAGTTTCGGAGGCGACAGGACCTGGAGCGCCATTTGAAGCACTGCCTACCTCTCCCCTAACCTCTCTGACAGTACCTCCCTTCGGGGAGCGGCGTGGCCATTTCTTGGCAGCTGTCAATAGTAGTAGTAGTAGTAGTAGTAGTAGTAGTGTGTGTGTGTGTGTGTGTGTGTGTGTGTGTGTGTGTGTGTGTGTGTGTGTGTGTGTGTGTGTGTGTGTGTGTAGCATCGCTATCATCGCCTCCGGCGATGGGCGTCCAATGGTGTGTGTGTGTGTGTGCATGTGTCTGTGTCTGTGTGTACTTGAAAGTACGTGTTTGTGTGTCCCTGATGCCGTCAATCCTTTTTCTGCACCTTGTCCTCACCCACTTACTGAGGTGTGGTGAGCCCGTAAGTGGGATCATTTTCAAGTCCACCCAGAGTTTAGGGGATTTCAGAGGGTGTCAGCTGTAGGGCGGTTCAATAGCCAATTGAGTCATCTTTCCAAGATTCCTTTTGAGTCTCTCTCCCCTCTCCCGGGAGACCCACGTGACCAGTTTTGGCAGTGACCAAGTACAGTGTGTGTGTGTGTGTGTGTGTGCGCGCGCGTGTGTGTGTATGTGTGTAGGAGTAGCAGTTAGTGTGTGTGTGTGTGTGTGTGTGTGTGTGTGTGTTACTGAGCTTATGAGAATGAGAGTGTGCATGTGTGTACATGTACTTGCATGTATATGTGTATACCAACCACCTGTCCGCACTTGCCACTTGTATACTGCTCGTGTTGTGTCTGATTACAGGAGCCCATGTCGAGCTCCGCCTCGTCTTCGCCGGTGCAGGAAAACGTCATGCTGCCCGAAGTCTGCAGCTCCGTTCCCGCCGGCAACAGCCTGGCTTCGTCGTCTCCGCTGTCCTCGCCCAGGTCCTCTGCCCGTGGCTCGGCATCCAACTCCGCCTCCAACCCGAAGAGCGGTATCCTGGCGAGGGCGGCCTCATCCTCGCTCGGCGAGGGCGACAAGAAGTTCCGCAACGTTCCCAGCTCAATGTCGCTCTCCTCGGCCGGCTCTCGCTACGTCGCCGTGGAGTCCATCGACGGCTCGCTGCCGGTGACGCTGGTCGGCTTCAGCAAGGGCTGCGTCGTGCTGAATCGCCTGGTGGCCGAGATGAACCAGGACTCGCGCTCGGGCCCCGGCGGTCACCTGTCGCTGCGCCAGCTGTGCCGTGAGGACAACGTGCGCGAGCTGTCCGGGCTGCAGGAGAGCACCACTTCCACCACCGGCGGGGTTCTAGAGTCGGTGACCGAGGCCGACCCCATCGCTGCCTCGCCGTCACCCCCGGCAACGGGCGAGGCGAGCGGCGCGCCCCGTTGCCGTGACGCCGCGGACGACAGCGTGACGGAGAGCAGCTCCAACGCTTCGCTGGGCGGCGGCGGCAGCCTGAGGCAGTCGGTTGACTTGAATCGCGGCGTGGTCAACTCCCAGGCGCTAACCACCATCCTACAGCGCAATCTCAGCCGACGCGGCACGAAGGCCGACGACTCTGCCGATTCGTCAAAGAAGGACAGCGCCTGGCCTCGCTTCCCGTGGGACCGCGTCGAGTCGATTGTGTGGCTCGACGGCGGTCATTCCGGCAAGGTCGGTGCTTGGATAACGGAGAAGACGGAAGTCAGGACACTGGTGACCACCGTGTCTAACGTACAGATTCACACCACGCCGTACCAGGTGAGTGTGTGTGTGTGTTGGGGGGGGGGGGGGGTGGGGGTGCTTGCGTGTGTTTGCCTGCCTGCCTGCTTCTGTGGGTGTGGGTGCTTGTGTGGGTGGGTGTTGGGGGGGGGGGGGGGGTGTTTGGAGAATACCGAAAATATTACACCACCGAAAATTTCTGCTTTTACAGTACAGTCAACTTCGCTTATAACGACACTCGGCGGGGCATCAGAAAAGTGTCCTTATTCGCGAAGTGTCGTTATACCCGAAGTCTCATTATACGTGTGACAGTTGGATGGGACTTTGCTCTGGGCATGAAAATTATGTCGCTATTCGAGAATTGTCGTTATATCCGCAGTCATTATTAGCGAAGTTGACTGTATCTAGAATCCCTGTGTACTGGTACTTGGACCAGTCTAGACAATGTAGTAAGAACGCACTTGGCGCGAATCTCCTGCCTTCTCCACCCTCTTTTGACCTATTCTATGATCCAGTGGACTGAACTCTGTGTGTGCGTGTCACTTTGCGTGTGTGTGTGTGTGTGCGTGTATGTGTGTTTTGGGTCTGCATGACGGAATGGCCGTGTGTGTTTTGTGTCTGCATTACGGAATGGCCGTGTATGTGTGTTTTGGGTCTGCATGACTGAATGGCTGTGTGTCTCGCGTGTCCGAATGGCGTCTGTGCACGCGATCTCCTTTGCCGTTGCCGTCCGCCATCGTCCATTCAGGTCAACAACACACACGCGCCGTGGAAGCGGGACGAGTACCACCAGTTTCGACATCTGCTCCACTCGGCCGGCCGCGCCAAGGCCTCCGTCAACGTGTTTGATCACAGTACGCAGGAGGAGCCGTCGATTAAGGTCCACTTTCGCGTGCTTGACGTCTTCTAAAAGCACCGCGCGACGACGGCCATGCCACGTGTGTTATTGTCGTGCCCAGCTGTGCGTTCACGTGTCACTTCTTCACACGTTTGCCGTCGAGTGTTACCGACCGATGGCGTTCGTGTCGGTCATTTCAGTCGCCTGGCCGGCGACAAGAATGTACATGTTTGCACTCTGGGCGTCGGCACTTTAAGGCTTGTGTGTTTGTTTGTTTGGGATGTGTTGTGTAGTGTGTGTGTGTGTATGTGTGTGTGTGTGTGTGTGGCACAGCGGCTGTGCGTTTTAAGTCCGTGAGCGGTGTTTCCGTGGCAGCCCCTCTTTCTTTCTTTTTCCTGCCCGGCCCATGCGCTCTATGACTGGCGTTGTGCATTTTTTGATCTTATGTCAGCTGATGTATAGTGTGTGTGTGTGTGTCTCCCCACCACACCATGGCTCTCTCTCTCTCTCTCTCTCTCTCTCTCTCTCTCTCTCTCTTTTCTCTCTCTTTCTCTCTCTCTGCCTCTTGCCCATGGCCTCCGATAGCCGTGAGCTCTGGCTGAGCCCTGAGAACTCAAAGCAGTGGACATGTTTCAAAGTCCTGCACACTTTGTCGTCCTCTCTCTTCGGCTTGTCCACGATCCCAGCCGCTAGCATGTTTACGACCCTATGAGATTCACAGTAAACCTTTGATCAGTAGGTTTTTATCACCGCGCGTTCGTTTGTGGTGTGATCTTTCATCTCCATTCCAGTATAATTATATACATTATATATAAATAAATGTTTCTTTCTTTCCGTCGAGTTTTAGTTGAGACCGTAGCATCTTAGCTGGTTTTATTCAGATCGCCGGGACGGCAGTATTATCATTTCCACTTCATCTTGAGGAGGTTTTTGACTGAGTTTTGAGCATTTCAGAATATTTCTAACCTATGCAGACTTCACTGCTCACTTCCTCCTCTCTTCTTTTTTCTTCTTTTTCTTGAGTGTTTTTCGTGCACCGAATTAATAAAGCACACGCTCACCTGGCGTTTGGCCGGCACAGGAAAGTTTATTTTCGAATTTCGTACACTCACACCGACATTTATTGAGACTGATGGGTTTCTCCGTCTGTTCAGTTCCTACTCATTTTGCTATAGGTTCTGTACGTTTTTTTGATTTATTTTCGGCCCCTTGAAGAGTATAGCAGGCTTCAAGTGAAAGAGAGTATAATCATAATATTATTTATTTATCTCTGGCTTTTCTTCTGGTCTGGTGGTGGTTGTGTGGTGTGCGTGTGTGTGTGTGTGTGTGCGCGCATGTGTGTGTGTGTGTGTGTGTGTGTGTGTGTGTGTGTGTGTGTGCGTGTGTGTGTGTGTGTGTGTGTGTCAAGTGGCGGTCAATTCATCCGCCTTGCAAGCTGTTGAATGGTGTAATCCCAGCGCACAAGTTGCTATGTCTCCCATAGCTGTTCGCTATCATCGCTTCCGCGATGGGCATGTCTGGTCAGTCTGGAGTCTGAGTATGTTCATGTTTGTGTGTGTGTGTGTCTCCTAATCCGTTCTACCATATTGTACTGCAGTAGAATCACGCATCCAAGAACGTTGATTTTTTGGAAAATAGCCACACACCATCATAGTGCAAAGACAAGGGTTAGCCTGGAGCGTTCTTAGTTTTTCAGCAATCTGCCTGCGTTCTTATAAAGAACGTTCTTCGAAACAATTCGTACTGGATCATACCAAGAGTACATAACCCCCCAGAGTGTGCAACTCCCACATACCCTGTTGTCCCGACAGAATTTCAAGTTGACGTCATTATTTATGACGCAATGCTCCTTGCAGCAGTGATTTACAACATGTGTACGGGTGTCAACGCATCACACGTTTTTCTTTGCAATAATTTGTACAGGATCGATCGGCTTCGGTCAACCACAGGTTCCGGATTCGTCTGATAATCCGTGTACAGTGCGCATTGCATCATCAAAATGACGTCAACTTGAAATTCTGTCGGGACAGCACCCATAGTGGAGTTGCACACTCTGGGGGGTTATGTACTCTTGATCATACCGGCAAGAGTATAATTATAAGTTTATACCCCTCAGGGGTTAAGTTTATACCCCTCAGGGGTTATAATATTATACCCCTCAGGGGTTATAATATTATACCCTTGCCGGTATGTATCCCAAAAGCTGGCAGAAAATGAATCCCGCGGCAGAATATCAGAAATTCCGTGCAGAATTCTGCGGGTAAAAACAGTAAATTCTGCGCGAGCGAGTTCTGCAAATCATTCTATATTCCGCAGCAATTCTGCAAGGAAATTGAGCCGGAAAACAGATCGAATCCCCGCAATGAAACCAAAGTCTGCTGCATATAAATCTAAACCAAAGTTATGCGAAATCCTGATAATTTTTTTGAAATCTCCAAAACATACTCAATCGAGATCTCCAAAATATAGGGCTTGTTGATTTGGAAAGTCATGAGCAGGTTGCTTTTATTATATATATATATATATATATAAATAGCTGCGAAACACACCTCAAATCTCCAGAAAAAGCAGTTTTTTAGCTCTTTTCTACGAATTGGATATTCTGCGGGATTTTCTGAATTCTGCAGACACTCCTGGATTCAAAAGTCGGCGTGGAGACCAGAAATCTAGTATCGATGAAAGTACAGTCCGTATCGCCTATAAGGTTGGCGGCTATAGTAATATACCGGATATAGTGATCAATTTCTCAAATTCATTTTCATTTGCCATAACTAAGGGTGCGTTCTTAAATCCTCTCGGAAAAGTTGGAGACTCTCCGAAAAGTTCGAGAGCTGTTCTTATATCCTCTCCGAATTTTAGGAGGCTCTCCAAAGCTCTCCAAGCTCTCCAAGCTTCAGAGGTGGTTGAAACTTGGAGATTCCCGCGGTTTGGGATCAGCGCATGCGAACTAGGCTAAAAGCCACGTGTTGATCATGAGTGTACGCATTTCCCTTTTCGCATACGCACAGCGCATACTATATTCGTGGCACTCAAGATCGCGGCCCCTTTGGCGCTTCATTTTGCTTGACATCTGCAAAATATCTCCGAATTCTTCGAGACCCGTTCTTGAAGAATCCCAGTTTCTTCGACTTCTCTTTTCTTCTTCTCCTAGAAGCTAGAGAATTTAAGAACGCACCCTAAGTATACACAGTTATCGCGTATAGTAATAATCGTCTATAGTAATATATCGCCTATAGTGATCAAATTTATATTTCAAAAGACCTTTATTACATTATTATTGCATCGTTTATAGTGATTGATGTAAAATCAAGTGATGGCAGAGGAGAACAGGGTGTTACTTCTTCGTGAAGTTGTCCAGTGAGTGTTGTTTGGTGAGTTTAGCTCGTACAAGTTGCCAAAATATGCCTCCATCATGAGGAAATGCTGATTTTGTGTGTCAGGAGCTACAGCCAGCTACATGACAGTGTACATGTATGTAGTGCGTATGTGCACGGCGCGCTGAGTCGTTTGACACCCCACTCGCATACATTGCATGCAGTATCGGCCATAGTAATATATCGCTTATAGTGATAAAATGCTCAAAATCAAACACCAACGCTATAGGCGACACTGACTGTAAAATCATAATTATTACTTTCATCGATACTCCTGGATTCTGCGAAAATTCTGCAGTACGCGGAATCGCGGAATTCATGGGGGACAGAGAAAACTATAACGCCTCCATTCTTATTAGCTTTCGACTGTGGCGTTCTTAGCATTTCGGGCTCCACGTTCTTCGGCGTGCGACTCCGCTGTACGCTAGGAGTACGAATTTTCCCTGGCGGGTGGTGGACAGCACATGGAAATAATTCAAGTCCCTCCCTCCCCCCCCCCCCCCCATCGGCAAACCCACTTTAAGCACACGACACAAACGCCTTGCATCAGGGAGTGGTAAAATACCGGTATTTCGCTACTTACTCCCTGCATTGTATGTTGTATGCATGAAGCAGGTCACATGACCTGTGTATTAAGAATCTTGATTGTTTTTTCGTTCTTCTCTATTTACATAATCATCATACTGGGGTACCCAGCTCGAACATGAAACGAAAGACTGTCTCCAGCCCGAGCCGAGTAATGAGAGGTAGGTACGATGGGGATTGGTTGGTTATACTAGCTGGTCGCCTACTGGTGTCATGCAGACGTAGATCAGACATCGGTTGACTTTTTCTTCTTGAGAACAAACTCGCTCATCAACTTCTGGTGCTGGTACCGTTGCGGGAAGGAATTCGGAATCAGGACTTTGTCGCTGGGTTTGTTCTCCAGTTGGTATACATTGTCGTTTGCAGTTTCGTACTCTTCAAATGGCACGTCGCCGATGAAGTAGTCGTTGGGCTGTGGCATCGTCGTGCAGTGTGGTAGCATCATCGTGCAGGATTGGGACATCAGCACGCTGGTTTGCGACATCATCTTCGGCGGGTTGTTCTTGCGAGGCAGGCTCTTCAGGCGGCGGAGCGGCGGCGGGGTGGGCACAGTCGTAGTCGTACTCGCCGGCCAGACACCCAGGCTACTCTGGTACGGCATTGCTTCGTTGTAGATGTGCATGTCGGGATGGACCAGATCGCACTCCTTGAAGCAGAAGACGTCCTCGGCGACGCCTATACCCTGGTTGTACATGTCATACTTGGGGTAGTAGTTGACGGAGCTGCTCGTGTAGCTGAGGTCGGTCGAGGTGCTGGTCAGGCGATCATGCTCGAAGGAGTCACGCTCGGTGGGCCGGAGTGGGAGTTCGCGTGTGGCTGCGTTGCGTGCGGCCGCTTCAGCTTTAGCTGTGCACGCGTTACGGCAGGGTCACGGCGCAGGGTCACGGCGCAGAGCACAGAGAGAGAGAGAGAGAGAGAGAGGCAGGCAAGTGCACACATACACACAGTGAGTGAATGAGTGAGTGTGTGAGAGAGAGAGAGAGAGAGAGAGAGAGACCGAGAGAGAGAGAGAGAGAGAGAGAGAGAGAGAGAGAGAGAGACCGAGAGAGAGAGAGACCGAGAGAGAGAGAGAGACCGAGAGAGAGAGAAAGAGAGAGAGGAAAGAGAGAGCACAAACACAGGAACACACACAGGCGGATAGGGTTACATACCTAGAGAGTAGCAAGTACAACACCACCATTGCCAGCAAGTGAAGCAGAGGAGATGGATCATATGTTTTAAAGTGGAACTCACTTAGTACGTACTCAGATCTGACGTACTGCAAAAGCCGTTATTCTAACGAGGCGCATTATAATTATAAAAAATAAAATAAAATAAAATTCGACGGGTTCGCGTACTGGGCAGGTCAAGAACAAGGAGTCGTACAACTCCCTGGTCAAGAACCACCTTTCCGTTATATAATTACAACGGTTTCCTAAAATTGACTGGTGTACGTGTACCAAAGGTAACGATTCTCACTCATTCTCAACGCTCAATAGCAACAATAAGTGTTGATTTCTGTATAGCGATTTTCATTTTAACAACAGATTTCTCCTCATGAAGTTGATTGTTCCAACTAGGAACACACGCTTCTTGCCGAACTTGACACTTGACTGACTCACGACTGCCATCCGGAGCACACGAGGAGCACGTCGCACCTTCCACTCGGCAAACCTGCAAGAAAGCACCACTCCCTGCTCAATGCACAGTGTTTCGGGGAATTCACCCCTCATCAGTCGAGCTTCAGTAGGCTGAGGAAGATTGCGCCGAGAGGAAGGTGCGACATGCTCCTCGTGTGCTCCGGATGGCAGTCGTGAGTCAGTCAAGTGTCAAGTTCGGCAAGAAGCGTGTGTTCCTAGTTGGAACAATCAACTTCATGACTATTACCGCCGAAGTCGCAACTTCCAAGTTCAGATTTCACCTCGTTAGATTTAGCATTTCGTGTATATAATTATGGCTTTTACAGTACATTTGCAAAGTACGGACATTGCCTGGAGCACGGGTGTGTTAACCATAGTGAGGTCCGATGGGATGAGAACTTGAGAAGTAGCTCCTGTACTGCGCACACTCTCTCCTGCTGCCCACCAAGGTACACCTTACCACCAGGGTTTCACAGTAGCACTGTAAAGTACCGTTGAGTTACTGTACTCGATGCAGCAGCGCCTAGGGGCTATGATGTGTACGGGCTTGTCACGTGATGCGAGGGTCTGCCGCATCACACCCTATAGCTGGAGCTGGACACTCATGGCGGTTACGCAGGAGGCATGGTGGAACCGGTCCGGTTGGTCAGGCAATGGCCGGATCAACTTTTTGCCCATCTACGTGTGTTTACTGCTGAGCAAGTCGTGTGTATACTGTAGACCGGGAAACTTTTGCGGCATGCAACTTTAGCGTTAAAAACACCCCCCCCCCCCCGCCCCTGTTAACGAGGGGAAATTTTAGCGATTTGGTCTTTTCAGGTGGTAGTAGTACTGTAAAGTCCGGAGCAAACGCCCACCCCATTTTTGCAAGATCTGGTTGCCTGTACGCGCTGAGACTTGAACTTTTGGCCTGACCCTAGGGGTATGTTACGGGACGGACTTGAAAGTTCACTTCACACCGTAGCGAAAACTGACCACTGCTACGGTAAACTATGGCACAAAGCTAGAGCCGAGTAGATATAGGCTAGAGTTTGGTAGCTCATAGTCATAGATCGATAGAGACTGCACTGTTGGGCGTACGGCTCAACTGAAAGTGTCGCAATCCACTCGAGCGGGGTCAAAGCAAGTTACTTTTGATCTGTAAACGTTCATGGATAACTTTCTTGCTTCTCTTCAGTCACCATGAATAAACTTTGCCTTGCCTTTGTCTGTGAAGTTCGCAGTTACCACCGGTCGGAGCTGCACAGAGCCTATATGTCCAGGGACAAATTTGTAGAATTCCCTCGGCAACCCGAAAACGAGAGCGATTGTAATGCTCTTTCGGCTATGCAATCTGGAAGAGATTTTGTCTTCTTGCAACGTGAGATAGCATTTTCGCCGTGCAGGCGGTGCCATTCTACAGCACTGCATTTAAACTCCACGTCGAACTTGTGGCGTCTTGGCATGGCGAAAAAACAATCGCTTCCAAGAATGACTGCGAAAGGATTGAATGCAGTTGGTCCCTTCTTGGCGAGGTTAGTGCATTTTTTGTCCGCGGGAATTTGATGTTGAGCTATAGCGAAAGTTCTTTTGTTTTAGTCTTTGCCATAGACAGTTCATAGGCTTTCATGTCTACTCGTACGAAGTCGAACTTTCTGTACACCATTCTTGTCCTCAGGACGACGCACCTGTGCCCTGCATTGCGAAAATAGTACAATCGAGCTGGGGTGGGCGTTTGCAGCGAAGTGGGCGTTTGCTCCGGACTTTGCGGTACATGTACTTCCGTTCAAATTCTTCAGTTCGCAGCGATTCTGAATCGCGTTTTGGCGGTGATCGCGAAACTCGCGAAAATTATCCGCTCGCGAAAGTTTCCCAGTTTACAGTACCCTCCACCGAGAGTTCATAAACAAGAGTATGCAACTGTGATCTCTTTTCTATGGGCCAGATGCGCGGCGCGCTGCCTTCATTACATCATCCAGCCGCAGTCCGCGCACTGCGGAAAATCAAACACCGCACTTTCCCTCTGGTTTGAAATGAACTTTCGTACGGAACTGGAGTTTATGCGCCAAAACTTAGAGATTGTGTAGGTATTTGAACGAATGGAGCAAAACGGATGGGCTCGTACGAGAAATTGTGGGTTTGAGACTGAGTGCATGCTTTCAGAGCGTGATGGAGGCAAGTTACGGAATGAAGGCAGCGCGCCGCGCACTGGCCCATAACCACAGTTGCATACCCTAAGTCCCTTGTTTATGCACTGTTGCCTCCATATCATACATTGGTATGCTGTGCTTGGTGATATGCTAGCCTGGTCGTTCTTCGGCGCTCGACGGCACCTGGTAAGCATTGCATTCTGGCCAGCTGGCTACACAAGCGGCCGTCTCACCTTGGAGTGACCGGCGCAGCAGGACTAGCTTGACGACGAACACGACCACGGCCAACAGCACTGTGCCGCCGACGCATGACAACACAATCGTGCTCATCTCCACGATACTAGTGTCTACACAGGAACAACAACAAAGAGAGAAAGAGAGAGAGAGAAAGAGAGAGAGAGAAAGAGAGAGAGAGAGAGAGAGAGAGAGAGAGAGAGAGAGAGAGAGAGAGAGAGAGAGAGAGAGAGAGAGAGAGAGAGAGAGGAGAGAGAAAGGGAGAGAGTGAAAACCAGGGAGTAGTAAAATACCATCACCAGGGATACAAACTTACAGAGACGCTTTGTTTCCAGCGCGACAAACACCTCGTGAAGCTCCAGGTAGCAGCATGAGTCAGAGTCGCTCATGGAGTTGTGATAAACAGACGTTGAGAGCCAGTATAGCTATTCGCAACGTGTGTTCCTAGTTGGAACAATCAACTTCATGACTATTACCGCCGAAGTCGCAACTTCTAAGTTCGTATTGTTGTCCCTCACGCGGACGTGCGACTAGTTGTTGGAGGTGACAGCGTGGCGAATAGCTATACTGGCTCTCAATGTCTGTTTATCACAACTCCATGAGCGACTCTGACTCATGCTGCTACCTTGAGCTTCACGGGGTGTTTGTCGCTCTGGAAAAAAAGCGTCTCTGCAAGTTTGTATCCCTGGTGATGGTTTGGCCTGGAGAGCAGTATATAAGTGGTGCTTTTCAGGCACAATCTTCCTCAGCCTACTCAAGCTCAAATGATGAGGGGTGAATGCCCCGAAACACCGTGTATTGAGCAGGGAGTGGTGCTTTCTTGCAGGTTTGCCGAGTGGAAGGTGCGACGTGCTCCTCGTGTGCTCCAGATGGCAGTCGTGAGTCAGTCAAGTGTCAAGTTCGGCAAGAAGCGTGTATTCCTAGTTGGAACAATCAACTTCAGAAAGAAAAATGGACCAAGGAACTACAAGCTACGCTATAATGTCCACTAACACCACCAGTTACTAAACAATCAGCTCATGCGATAACATTGCACGACACTGACCGACGGTACTGACGTTCTACAACTAACTGGCTAACAGCTCTAGCACATCTTGGATGCGCACTCCAACAGCCTTCCAACTTGTAAGGTTCTAAGTTATAGAATAGCATAAGAATGGGAAGATGAGCGCAACCAAGATACGCACGCATGGTTCTATATCTTAGAACCCACACACTAACGCACACTGACGACCACCCTCCCCCACACATACCTAAACACGCATACACACAGACACAGACACACACACATACACATGCACACACACATGCTCACACACATGCACACACACACACACACACACACAATCATCGTCAGCATACCTTGGCATATACCATCGGCATCGAATTCGAATCCCACTCCGCAGATACAGCGGTACCCATCAGGAGATTTCAGACATTGAGCGTGCAAGTTGTAACATGGAGAGCTCTTACACGAATCACTGACTGCAGAGAGAGAGAGAGAGAGAGAGAGAGAGAGAGAGAGAGAGAGAGAGAGAGAGAGAGAGAGAGAGAGAGAGAGAGAGAGAGAGAGCGAGAGAGAGAGAGAGAGAGAGAGAGAGAGAGAGCGAGAGAGAGAGAGAGAGAGAGAGAGAGAGAGAGAGAGAAAGCAAAAATGATCAAACACATTGTAAAAAGTGAAAAGGTGCATAAACCATCATTGATTACACTCAATACCAACACCACTACCTGCCTAACCCCTTCCTCCATCACAAATATTCAAACACACCCACACGGACACGAACACATACACGCACACACACAAACGCATGCACAAACGCATGCACACACACACACACACACACACACACACACACACACACACACACACACACACACACACACACACACACACACACACACACACACTGTAGTTGCTTGCTGCCAACACTGGTCAAGCGGTTCTCGCCAGGAGAAGGGGACAGAGATTCATAAGGAATCTTCGAAAGATGAGTCAATAATTACAGTAGAGTTACCCGCACACACGTATATACGCGCACGCGCGCGCACACACACACACACACACACACTTACAAGCTGACGTATTTGCAGCCGTCGCCGGCGCAAACCAAGACATCATGAAGGTGCAGAAGAACACTGTACTCTTTTGGAGCAGAGCTCGACGACGATACCACTGCAGGCAACAACAATAACAACAACAAACTGTTTAACCCACAATCTCACCTTCTCATAAATTTATCTCTTATTGGCGATGGTGCCATCGTGAGAATAAAGAATTCAAAAAAAACAACAACAACACGACACCAGCACAAAAAGCCGCTGCCCTCAACGAATTCTTCATTTCACAGAGCAAGCTGTCCGTGGCCAATGCGCATGAGCAAACTCCAGCCATCAACACCACCCCTGACATCCTCAGTCCCCTTCAAGAAATCTCGACTTCCCAAGCTGAGGTAGAAAAACTCCTCCGCGGAGTTGATACCAACAAAAGCCCCGGGTTTGACTCTATTCCAAACCGCCTACTCAAAGAAGTGGCTAAGGAACTTGCACCGTCGTTATCGTCCCTCTTTAATCAATCGTTCCAAACCGGAGAAATCCCACAGGAGTGGAAAGATGCCACCATTACTCCAGTACCCAAGCCGGGTGACCCAACCCAACCAACAAATTATAGACCCATCTCTCTCTTGAGCACTACATCAAAAATCCAAGAAAAAATTGCACATCAACTCCTCTACAAGCACATCACACCCCACCTGCCCAACCAGCAGTCCGGATTCCGCGAGAAAGACGGCACTGAGCAGCAGCTCGCCCGTCTCGTCCATACCCTCTCCACTGCGAGAGACGACGGGAAACACGTCAATGCCTGCTTTTTCGATTTAAGCAAGGCCTTCGATCGTGTGTGGCATGCAGGCCTTCTAGCAAAACTCTCCCACTATGGTGTCCATTGCAACGCCCTGGAGTGGTTTCGACGGTACCTGTTGGGGCGTCGGCAAAGGGTCCAGGTGGATGGCGACCTATCGCCTTTCCTCGAGATCCCTGCCGGCGTCCCTCAGGGATCTGTTCTTGGGCCGCTTCTATTCCTCGTCTACACCATAGACCTTCCACACGCATGTGTTGGGGCGTCGGCAAAGGGTCCAGGTGGATGGCGACCTATCGCCTTTCCTCGAGATCCCTGCCGGCGTCCCTCAGGGATCTGTTCTTGGGCCGCTTCTATTCCTCGTCTACACCATAGACCTTCCACACGCATGTGAGAATCCCAGCACCACCTGTAGCCAGTTTGCAGATGACACCGCTCTGATTTCCATAGCGAGAACTCTTCAAGACTGCACCCGAAACCTACAACAGAGTGTCACAGCAGCTGGAGAGTGGCTTCAAAAATGGCACCTGCTGGTTAACACAAAGAAAACAGTCATCCTCCCGTTCTACCACAATAACCGCCCCCCTGAACAGCTACCCCAGATCACCCTCAGGAATAGTCCGCTTACCGTAGCACAAAAACACAAACACCTCGGAATAATCTTTCAGCATGACCTCCGTTGGACGGAGCATGATGAATACATAGTCAAAAAATCACTCAAGTCTTTCAATATTCTTTTTAGACTAAGGTCTACACTCACCAGTGATTCTTTATCTCACATCTATCAGACATACATACTACCTATATTCTCATATGCGAGCAATGCTCTCACACCGTTGTCCCACACTTCCCTTGACAGGCTAGAACGACTCCAGCGGAAAGCCGCCAGAATATGTCTCCACCTTCCCCTTTACACACACTTAGAACACTCCCACCTTTTGCATCGCATCAAATGGCCAACATTATTTTCACGCTTTAAAGTTAAACATATACTCTTCGCGCATTCTCTGCGCCACAATTATGCCCCACCACATATACTCTCGCTGCATACTGCTAGCAACGTGCAACCTTCGTATAATTTACGTCGCTCTCGTACTTGGCACTTGCCAACTCCGCGGACTGACCGCTGTCTCCATTCTCCCCTGTACAAGGCCCTTCATTACTTTAATTGCCTGCCCACCCAGCTTCGCGAAATCCCTTCTCGTACTCCCTTCAAATCCCAGATATCCCTGCTGTTGCACAACTCTGTATGCTCGTGTAGCGACCACCCCTGCCCGTACACTTAAGTACGCAACTCTGTATGCTCGTGTGGCGACCACCCCTGCCCGTACACTTAAGTAGTCACTAACCCCTAGGCCCTGCCCACCCAATTCTTCCTCACTCTTTCTCCTTTCTTACACTATTATCTCTTATTGGCCACTGGCTATCGTGAGAATAAAGATTTGAAACAACAACAACAACAACTCAATTTATCTCTTATTGGCGATGGTGCCATCGTGAGAATAAAGAATTCAAATTCAAACAACAACAACAAACACCTCGGAATAATCTTTCAGCATGACCTCCGTTGGACGGAGCATGTTGAATACATAGTCAAAAAATCACTCAAGTCTTTCAATATTCTTTTTAGACTAAGGTCTACACTCACCAGTGATTCTTTATCTCACATCTATCAGACATACATACTACCTATATTCTCATATGCGAGCAATGCTCTCACACCGTTGTCCCACACTTCCCTTGACAGGCTAGAACGACTCCAGCGGAAAGCCGCCAGAATATGTCTCCACCTTCCCCTTTACACACACTTAGAACACTCCCACCTTTTGCATCGCATCAAATGGCCAACATTATTTTCACGCTTTAAAGTTAAACATATACTCTTCGCGCATTCTCTGCGCCACAATTATGCCCCACCACATATACTCTCGCTGCATACTGCTAGCAACGTGCAACCTTCGTATAATTTACGTCGCTCTCGTACTTGGCACTTGCCAACTCCGCGGACTGACCGCTGTCTCCATTCTCCCCTGTACAAGGCCCTTCATTACTTTAATTGCCTGCCCACCCAGCTTCGCGAAATCCCTTCTCGTACTCCCTTCAAATCCCAGATATCCCTGCTGTTGCACAACTCTGTATGCTCGTGTAGCGACCACCCCTGCCCTTACACTTTTAAAGTACGCAACTCTGTATGCTCGTGTGGCGACCACCCCTGCCCGTACACTTAAGTAGTCATTAACCCCTAGGCCCTGCCCACCCAATTCTTCCTCACTCTTTCTCCTTTCTTACACTATTATCTCTTATTGGCCACTGGCTATCGTGAGAATAAAGATTTGAAACAACAACAACGTAGCACAAAAACACAAACACCTCGGAATAATCTTTCAGCATGACCTCCGTTGGACGGAGCATGTTGAATACATAGTCAAAAAAACACTCAAGTCTTTCAATATTTTTTTAGACTAAGGTCTACACTCACCAGTGATTCTTTATCTCACATCTATCAGACATACATACTACCTATATTCTCATATGCGAGCAATGCTCTCACACCGTTGTCCCACACTTGCCTTGACAGGCTAGAACGACTCCAGCGGAAAGCCGCCAGAATATGTCTCCACCTTCCCCTTTACACACACTTAGAACACTCCCACCTTTTGCATCGCATCAAATGGCCAACATTATTTTCACGCTTTAAAGTTAAACATATACTCTTCGCGCATTCTCTGCGCCACAATTATGCCCCACCACATATACTCTCGCTGCATACTGCTAGCACCGTGCAACCTTCGTATAATTTACGTCGCTCTCGTACTTGGCACTTGCCAACTCCGCGGACTGACCGCTGTCTCCATTCTCCCCTGTACAAGGCCCTTCATTACTTTAATTGCCTGCCCACCCAGCTTCGCGAAATCCCTTCTCGTACTCCCTTCAAATCCCAGATATCCCTGCTGTTGCACAACTCTGTATGCTCGTGTAGCGACCACCCCTGCCCGTACACTTAAGTAGTCATTAACCCCTAGGCCCTGCTCACCCAATTCTTCCTCACTCTTTCTCCTTTCTTATACTATTATCTCTTATTGGCCACTGGCTATCGTGAGAATAAAGATTTGAAACAACAACAACGTAGCACAAAAAAAACAAACACCTCGGAATAATCTTTCAGCATGACCTCCGTTGGACGGAGCATGTTGAATACATAGTCAAAAAAACACTCAAGTCTTTCAATATTTTTTTAGACTAAGGTCTACACTCACCAGTGATTCTTTATCTCACATCTATCAGACATACATACTACCTATATTCTCATATGCGAGCAATGCTCTCACAACGTTGTCACACACTTCCCTTGACAGGCTAGAACGACTCCAGCGGAAAGCCGCCAGAATATGTCTCCACCTTCCCCATTACACACACTCAGAACACTCCCACCTTTTGCATCGCATCAAATGGCCAACATTATTTTCACGCTTTAAAGTTAAACATATACTCTTCGCGCATTCTCTGCGCCACAATTATGCCCCACCACATACACTCTCGCTGCATACTGCTAGCACCGTGCAACCTTCGTATAATTTACGTCGCTCTCGTACTTGGCACTTGCCAACTCCGCGGACTGATCGCTGTCTCCATTCTCGGGCCCCTGTACAACCCTTCATTGCTTTAATTGCTCGCCCACCCAGCTTCGCGAAATCCCTTCTCGTACGCTCTTCAAATCCCAGATATCCCTGCTAATGCACAACTCTGTATGCTCGTTTAGCGACCACCCCTGCCCGTACACTTAAGTAGTCATTAACCCCTAGGCTCTGCCCACCCAATTCTTCCTCACTCTTTCTCCTTTATTACACTATTACCTCTTATTGGCCACTGGCTATCGTGAGAATAAAGATTTGAAACTTATTGGCGATGGTGCCATCATGAGAATAAAGAATTCAAAAAAACAATAACAAAAAAAACAACAACAGAATCATCGTGTGTGTCAGGCATGGAGCACACGGGGCACGTGGCACGGTGACCAGGTGACTGGTGTACGCAGGAGCACGTGACTGCTTGTTCAACCATGTTCGATTGAATAAAGGAGGAACGCTGCATCGCAGCCTTTTCGGACCAAAACCAGTCGACTCAGCGGCCAAAAGACTACAACATATGGGCCAATCGCGGTCATCCGTGCTTTTATAGGAACGAAATGGCGCTTTTAGTGACATTTTGCATACAAATCCCCATCTAGTAGGGCGCAGTCACCCAGTTTCGGTGGAAGTGCGCGAGTTCGATTGGGATTAAAGTAGGAAGGGAGCGTCTTAGCTTCCTCGGACCACGACTATTCGACTCAGCACCCGAAGACTACAACTGGTGAAATTTTGATTTTTGCCTTAACTTCCCCTTTAACTAGTATCCATATGTCCTTTTCCTTTCTACATTTATTTATGGCTCAACATCTGAGTTTCAAATAATATAATAATAATAATAATGGTCCTGGTGGTGACAGTCAATTTTTTCTTCAGACTTTTCCCGCTTGTCTCTTTCCCTCAGACTAGTGAAGATTTTATGACTTGGGGCTCCCCGCGTGCTAGAGTGTACGTGAAGTGTGTGGGTACAGTGAGGGCTGCGTCCCACCCGCCTGTGTGGATTCACAGGAAGTGAGTTACGAAGTCTGAAGAAAATGTTGAACAGTCTATGCTGGGATGACGACTACACCATAGCTCAGTGGTTAGAGCATCGCTAGCTACAAGCGAGGGTCCCTGGTTCGAGTCCTGGTGGTGACAGTCAATTTTTTCTTCATACTTTTCCCGCTTGTCTCTTTCCCTCAGACTAGTGAAGAAAATAATAATAATAATAATAATAATAAGGATGCTATCATCACGGGTACTGTGTGACTTCTGGATAAGAAAAAAAGTTTTGTTTGTGTTCTTTAAAGGGGAAGTTAAGGCAAATATTAAAATTTCACCAGTTGTTGTCTTCGGGGTGCTGAGTCGAATAGTCGTGGTCCGAGAAAGCTGAGACGCTCCCTTCCTACTTGAATCCCAATCGAACTCGCGCACTTCCACCGAAACTGGGTGACTGCGCCCTACTAGATGGGATTTGTATGCAAAATGTCACTAAAAGCGCAATTTTGTTCTTATAAAAGCACGGATGACCGCGATTGGCCCATATGTTGTAGTCTTTTGGACGCTGAGTCGACTGGTTTTGGTCCGAAAAGGCTGCGATGCAGCGTTCCTCCTTTATTCCCAATCGAACATGGTTGAACAAGCGGTCACGTGCTCCTGCGTACACCAGTCACCTGGTCACCGTGCCTGCAGGGTACAACTTACTAGCCTGTTTGACCTTTTTTGGGTGCAGTCTTGTCACTCGAGTTGAACCTTGGTGTGAAAGTTGTGTGGCGTGGTGACCAGGTGATTTGGGCACCCAGGAGCACGTGACCACTTGTTCAACCATGTTCGATTGGGAATAAAGGAGGAACGCTGCTCGGACCAAAACCAGTCGACTCAGCGTCCAAAAGACTACAACATGGGCCAATCGCGGTCATCCGTGCTTTTATAAGAACAAAATGGCGCTTTTAGTGACATTTTGCATACAAGTCCCCATCTAGTAGGGTGCAGTCACCCAGTTTCGGTGGAAGTGCGCGAGTTCGATTGGGATTCAAGTAGGAAGAGAGCGTCTCAGCTTTCTCGGACCAAGACCATTCGACTCAGCACCCTGAAGACTACAACTGGTGAAATTTTAATTTTTGCCTTAACTTCCCCTTTAATAATAGCTATGAAAAGGTTTTCAAGCTCCGATCATCAGTGGAAATACGGAACTAAAGTGATCAAGGGAAAAACAAAAGTTAAAAAACCAAAGAAGTGTGACACATGACGCGTAAGTATTACAAAAAGTGAGGGCTAAGATAAAAAGTAAGTGTGACAAATGGGTATGAACAGTGCAGAAACAACTCATGAATACGGGGTGCAAACTCACGAAAATAGCCTAAGTGCTACAACATGTTCTTTTTGCTTACACAAATCGAGCTTATGCGTACGAATACAAACAGCTTCAAGGACCTTCAACTGCTGGACATAACGGGCACGACACAGTACAGAGAAGTGGGAATCATCATACACTTGGATTTTTAACCTTTGTTTTTCCCTTGATCACTTTAGTTCCGTATTTCCACTGATGATCGGAGCTTGAAAATCGATTCTGGAAACACACAATCTTAACCCATTGAGGGCTACAGGGCCTTTCATCTGAGGCTCTGAAGAAAATGCTAAAAATAGGGCCAATATACAGCTCCACAACTTCAAAGTCTAGGCAACTAGGTTGTTGAACTCTTGGGATATGTTGACCAAGGCTATGATCATCACGCTGACCAACTCGATATAGTTCCCAGAAAAAGGAACAAAGTGCTATATGACACGTAAATTCATCCAAATTGCGTAAAATACGAAAAAGTCGCCAATGTGAGTTGAATCACCGGGCGAAAAAGAAGAAGAAAAACGTATCCACGCGGGATTCGTACCCGCAACCTCTCGTACTGAATGCAGGAAATGTACCGCTCGACTCTGGGGTCTCTTCCAGCCATGCGCTGGAACACGGAACTTAGTACAGTAGGATAGCCTGTCAGCCCGAGTATATTCGGGCTCAGCGCCCTGACGTCATTTTGAATCCCGAATATATTCGGGGTCAGCAGTCAATGGGTTAAACCTTGAACAAATTGTCATGCTGCGTGGTGATGTCTGCGGCATTTATACTTTTCATAGCTATTATTACACTTTTATCTCCACGTAGATTATTTGTGTTCTTTGACTATGATTTTCTGCTTTTTACGGAGCCTCACGAGATGCCCAAATTCGCTCTATTTCACGTAAATTTTCAAAAATTCTCTCCGGGAACCGGTCTCAAAAGTTAGCCCGATAACTCCTTGATCCTTCCTGCTGGCCTGCAAGTACAGGATCTGTAGGCCAGTCGTGCAGATCTGCGGAGCAGGGAGTGCAGCCATGTATCCATGTACGTGTACTCTACTACTAGTACAAGCACTACTATACTAGTCTTGTGTAAATTAAATAAATTTCACGGTTCGCGTGAGACTCGGCCGGAAGCCGAGTTTTCCGCATCCGCCGTGGGAACGCCACCACCCTCTAGGATCAAAGGCGCAGATGTAGCGCCTAAACGGTGGGAGGTGAGTAGATCAGACCATCCACCAAGTGGTCAAAGACCGAAATCCCATTAGCTTACTCTTGATGAAGTGGAGAACGTCTGTAGGGATTTCCCTAACAAAATAATAAATACTACTACTACTACTACTGCTGCTGCTGCTGCTGCTGCTGCTGCTGCTGCTGCTGCTGCTGCTGCTACTACTACTACTACTACTAAGGGTGCGTTCTTAAATCCTCTCGGAAAAGTTGGAGACTCTTCGAAAAGTTCGAGAGCTGTTCTTATATCCTCTCCGACTTTTAGGAGGCTCTCCAAAGCTCTCCAAGCTCTCCAAGCTTCAGAGGTGATTGAAACTTGGAGATTCCCGCGGTTTGGGATCAGCGCATGCGAACTACGACTAAAAGCCACGTGTTCATCATGAGTGTACGCATTTCCCTGTTCGCATACGCACACGTGCATTACTACATTCATCACTCAAAATCGCGGCCCATTTGGCGCTTCATTTTGCTTGACATGTGCAAATTATCTCCGAATTTTTCGAGACCCGTTCTTAAGTAATCCCAGTTTCTTCGTCTTCTCTTTTCTTCTTCTCCTAGAAGCTTCGGGAACGGATACGATAATTTACTTTTTTTTTTTTTTTTTTTTTAGAAGCTAGAGAATTATAAGAACGCACCCTAAGACCTACATATATGTACATACTTCATATTACATGTAGTACAATGCTATGATTGTACAGAATTTTATGTATGGGTACGAGGTGAATAGCAATTTCTGGACATGAAAATAAAATAGAGGCCCACTAGCTGTGTGTTTTACATTTTTCATATCTTTTTGTATCTATTGTATGGCCTAATCCTTCGTCTTTCCAAATATGTGACAATTGCTCATGCTGTGATCCTAGAGACTTTATAGCAGGTTGTTCTCGGCAGACCAATTTTTTGGCCTAAATTTCAGTGTATGGAATTCTGGACATGAAAGTAATAGCGTCAATAGGCATCCTATACTGCACCATTTTTGTTATTTTTTCTATTGGTGGACTGCAGTTGGCCTCTTCACACTTCCAGCCAACAGGTCCAAGACTATACAGCGTCTGAAGTGGAGTGCACATGGGGAAGCCAACGATTCGTCCATTACTTCTTATTTTACTCAAAATTCAAAATTCTCATGCAACATAGTACCACAAAACTCGTTGAAATGCCTCCCAAGAAAAGGCTATCAACAAGGCACCGACACGAGGAGAAACTACAACAGCCCAGCTGTCAACAACAACAAGAAAAACTTCATCAACCTGATTGACTTGACTCTACACGCGACGAAAAATTATTTTACTCGAAATGTCCAGAAATGTACAATGTCCAGAAATAGCAATTCACCTCGTACCGGTGGGGTCGGGACATGACAGGTCATTTCGACAAATAAGGACGTGCTCATCTGAGCCATCCGTCAGTATCCGGTATGCAGTGCACTAGTACAGATATATCTAGATGGTTATTATTATTACTATTTTATTTATTTTACTAGGGTGTTTGAACATCTGATCAGCACGTGGATGCGATCCTTCCTTGCTTACCTCCATCATGACCTTGTGGGCCTTCCGGAGTGGTGTTGCTTGTCTCCCTAATCAACACTCGCGCTGGCTCTGTTGCTGCGCTCGCTGGGCAGTTTCAATACTACTATAGGCACAATGCAGCAAATAATGTTGTCCGAGTGTAGCCCTCCTGCGCACGAGGAATGTCATTCTATTCGGACAGCTAGGTGAAGTTTCGGGGCTTTTCCGCAGAATAATATAGCTGGACCCATGGCCCACGGTGCAGCCTCGGACTCACAACATACCAGACCCATTCACCCAGAACAGCACAGCCTGCAAGAGGTCTACACTACCGAGCTGAAAACTGGGCAAGAGCAAGTACAAGAACTTGCCCTTCCATGAACAAAATTAAAAAATTCATGTTCAGAACTTTGACGCATGGCCTGGATCGGGTGAACCACACAGTGTGCATGCATGCAGCGTTCGTGTGTGAACCTTTGACCACTGGTACATCGTAGATCGACATGGTGTAGATAGCACAGTTGCAATGTAGCTCGCACTACTGTACAACTCTACATGACTTTTGTACTCCTTGCTAGCTTTGAACCGCGCATGTGGATCTACCAGGCAGCC